TGCTCCCGGGGCACCAGCGGACGGGTGGAGCGGTGCCCAGGCGCGCCAGCCGGGCAGGGCTGCCGTGCGAGCGGTGCGGTGACGCTACGGCAGTCGCTCGCTGCTTCTCTGAGGGCCAGGGACTCCTTACGCAGGTGGCAGCAAGCCCCACCCGAGTCTCCTGGAGGGCAGTGCCGGCAGGGAAAAAAACAGGTGCACTCAGATGCCTGAGCAGTGAATGTCCTCGGCTGGGGAGGAGGTGTGACGCGGGTGGCAGGGCAGGCTGTGCCCTGCTGAGGGCTAGCCGAGGGGTTGTACCTGTGGGCTGGCTATGAGAGACATCTCTGAGTCTTCTTTTCTGGCTGTTCCCCCTAGAGGCGCCCGGCAGTAGGTGTGAGGTGATCTAGCCTGGCTCCCACCGTAGCCTGGCTCCCTGGCATCTGATGATGAGTTTGAGCCCCTCCAGGGGATGCCTCCTGGACCTGCCCTGGGAAGACATCTTGGTTCCACATATCCTCTGTCATCTGCCACTGCAGCAGCTCCTGAGCCTGCAGAGGGTCAGCAAGTCATTCCAGTCACTTATCCAGCTGTACCTGGCCAACATGCGCTGCTTTGACTCAAGCCAGGTATTGGGTGGCTTTGAGCCTGGGGGAGGCACAAATGTGCTGCTGCTCTGGAACTAACAGGGGAACATCTGACTACGTGGGGAAAAGAAACTCCTGGAAAGGAGGCTGGTTTATACTCAGGAGCTTGGGTTAATGGCTTGGGTGTCAGACTGGACAGATGTGCTCAGAGAGGAGGGGCAGTGATTCAAGGCCCAGCAATTCCAGTGTCTTTAGCAACAAGCCTTGGGAGGAGTGAGCCTGGAAGTTCCACCCAGGCCATTACTGGGCACCGGCTGGCAGAAACGCAAACCAGCTCTGGAGTGGCATGGCCTGTCAGTTCTCAGGGAGGCTGTGCAATAGGGTGCGTCTGACAGGAGATAACTCTGTGCCTGGTCTTCAGGGAAGGCTTGTGCTGGCCTTGGGAGACACTGCCCGTGACTTGGAAAGACAGGAGTAGCTGCTGGTTCGTGGGAACAGAGTGGTCTGGCAAAGAGTTTTTGGAGAACGGAGGTGCGGAGCTCATCACGAGTACATAAGAAGGGATGATGCGAGATGAAGAAAGCCAGAGCATCTTCTAGCTTGTGGCAGTAGCTTTGGCATGAGGGGAGGAGAGTCTGACAGGTGGAGTTTGTCCTGGGATGAGGTGGTTTTGGTCAGCACTGTCACAGCGGAAGAGAGGAGGGGGAGAGAGTATTTGGTGAGGCCCAGGCTGACCTGAAACCCTGGGGCACGCCTCATTCTTGCTGGGTTTCCCACACAGATCGGGCCTGCCATCCCTCGAGCCGCTTTCATTAACCTGCTGAAGGACAACGAAGTGCTGCAGCACCTGGCGCTCCAGAACTGCTCCGACTGGCTGACGGACAGGGAGCTGCTCCCAGTCATCGGGCAGAACCACCACCTGCACCAGATCCAGCTGAAGGGCTGTGCCCAGCTCAGCCGCCACGCGCTGGTCGCCATCTCCCTGAGCTGCCCCAACCTGCGCCGGCTTTCCCTGGCTCACTGCGAGTGGGTGGACAGCCTGTCCCTGCGCAGCCTGGCCGACCACTGCAAGGCGCTGGAGGCTCTGGACCTGACGGCCTGTCGCCAGCTGAAGGACGAGGCCATCTGCTACCTCGTGCAGAAGTGCAGCAGGCTCAAGTCTCTGTCGCTGGCTGTCAATGCCAACGTGGGCGACGTGGCGGTTGAGGAGATTGCCAAGTGCTGCCCCGAGCTGGAGCACCTGGACCTCACGGGGTGTCTGCGAGTCAAGAATGACTCCATCAGGTACTGAGCAACGTGGGGAGCTGGGCTGGGGATGGCAGGTGACTGGGGTGGAGAGAGGAAGAGAACCAGAGAAGGAAAGTCAGTCTGTGGAAGAAGTCACTAGCAGGCCCTTCGGGAGAGGCACCGTGTGCTACTAACGGCAAGTTTCCCAGCGTGTCTTTGAGGGTAGGGCTGGGATACAACCGTGTCCCTTGAGTTTCTCAGACCACTAGGGTGCTGCTCCCAAAGGCTGGTGCGTGTGTGGCACAGAAATGACTGCTGGGAGTGGAGAAGAGGGTGAATGGTGCACTTAGGAGATCCTGGCTTGCAACCTGCATGTGCTGTCTTTCTTGGCAGGGTCCTGGCTGAGTACTGTCCCAAGCTGCGCTCACTGAAGGTGAAGCATTGCCACAACGTGGCCGAGTCCAGCCTGAGCATCCTCCGAAGCCGTGGGGTGGAGCTGGATGTTGAGCCTCCACTGCAGAGGGCTCTGGTTCTCCTGCAGGATGTGGTTGGCTTCGCCCCTTTCATCAACCTCCAGATCTAGAACTGCTGCTGCCGGGGAGGGGGGGACTGACGCGCTGCTGGGATCCTGGGAGGATGCCGGAACCGGCTGCTGTGGAGACGTGCGGAGGGAGAGGTCGCCCCGTTGGCAAGGCTGGCTGGAGCAGGGCTTGCTCCTCTGGGGCTGTTTAGCAGCCACTGGGTGTTTGTGAGCAGGCTTCGTTGGTGCCTCTGGGGAAAGTAACTCCCTCCGCGGTGCTGTGGAGAGCGAGTGACTTGCAGGAACACCACGGTGCTGAACAGGCCTTGCCCAGGCCAGCTAATAGGTAGGATTTATTATTTGTTGTATTTTAAATCTCTAAGTGGCAGCTGTCCAGAGAGCAGGATGGTGTTTGATGGGGACTCTCCCCTGGGGTGGGTGTGCAGGGCATGCCAGCAGAGCTGTGGAACTAAACGGGCCAGCTGGAGCAGAAAGAAGAGCCACCAGCCCTCCTCCTGGCAGAGGGCAGGCCCCTCTGGGCTACAGGAGCACGTGAGGAGGGCAGAGTGAGCCTGGCTCCAGCCTGTGGCCATCAGCCAGCCTGGCATGGCCCCAGCACAGGCAGTGTGTCCCTCCAGGCCTAGGGTGCTGGGTCAGTCTGGTGCAAGGTAGCACTCGACAGTGGTGAGAAATGACTGGAGCCCCAGCCATGCTGTCAGCTGGAGTTTGTGGAGTGCTGCAGGTTGTGTTGGCAGGGAGAGCCTAGCTTTGGTCTGGAGTTTGGCCTCAGCTCTTGCATCCACTAGGTGGTTAACTGAACAGCAAGCACATCTTGTGGTCAATGGGATGAAGAGAGTAATTAGAGGAAGAGAGGATGACCCTGCTCCTATCTTTGGCCCCAGGAGGGACTGGAGGTGGTGCCTGTAAATCATGTGCATGCTCTGGCTGAACTACACACCAACTCACATCATCTTTATTAACACTAGCACTCAATTTAAAGCAACAGTGCACACAGACTTGTAAAAAGCTTGCTGCAAAAGCACAAGCCACTTCTTAGATCTAAAAATGTCCCATGCAAGCAAAAGCAGAGAATGCCCAGGCCTGGGAGAGCCACTGCAGTGTGCCCCTGGGGGCAGAGGGACAGCTACACAAGGAGAGAAGTCTTCTCCTGGACAGATGGGTTAGTTGAGGAAGCTGAAAGCAGCGTCCTGGCTCCCAAGTTAGTTCCAGTTAGTGGCAGTTGGAGCAGTCCCCTCATCCCTAGGGCCACGTGTCCGTCCTGCCATTCCTGGCTGGCCAAGTGGAGGCTGAAGAGTCGGAGGGCCTGGCTCTCAGTGGAATTTGTACTTCCTAGCTGGTTTGAGGCTGATGTAGGTTCTTTTCATCTCCTCGCTCTCAGGCTTCTTGATGTCTTTGTACCTCTCTCCCTTTGTACTCACCACCTGGTTATCGATGTAGCGGATCAGCTTCTTGGGAGCCTGCAGAGGGAAAACATTAACACCAAGTGGATGAATGGCCATGCTGGTAGGGGAAGGGAGGGGATAAGCAGAAGCAGAGCTGTGCTCTTGGGGGCAGGTACGGGAAGCCTGGGGTGGGCTGTGTTACCCATCTGTTGTGTTGAGAATCTTGGCCAAAACTGGGAAGGAAGCTGCCTGATAGGGGGGCAGCAGAAGCCATGATAGTCAGGAGTGGCAGGAACTGACAGACCCTGCAGCACCTCAGCTAAGGTAATCTTTCCTCTTTTCTGATTAGAGGGCTGTGGGAATGGTCCTGCCTTTGGCCTGCCCCATCACCATTTGGACTTGCAGACTGATTTTTAAACCTTGTAGCCAATGGACATTCCAAATGCTGGTGAACTGGGACTGCTGCTCTTACCTCTTTGGGTGGAGCTGGCCGATGTGTTTTCTGGTCATCTGCACTATCCACCATCATGTATCTGAAAAACAAGAAACATGTGGTGAACACTGTAACAGGTACAGCATGGGGCTATTCACAGCCTCGGTCCTTTCTCCTCTGGCTGGTCTGTGGCTGTGCAATGTGTCCTACTTGCTTTGACTGCAGTTAGAAGCCCTTCATGTTCCCCTCTGGATGAAATAGGCAAGAACTGTGTCATCCATCTGGTGAGAATCCAGCAGGATTCTCCTGGAGTAGCACCCTTGGCCATAGGTGAAGGGTACTGAAAACTTGGGCTGTTGGAATGCCAGTGCCCCCTGCAGAACTGAGGGAGGTGCCAAGGTCTGGTGTGCTCTGCTGCTGGGGCAGCTGTGCTCCTTCTCAGCCCAAGGAGACACAGGTAAGACCACAGGACCAAGCTGGCTGCTTCTGCCCTGAAGAGATGGTGTTCCTTTCATGTTCCACCTGCTACTACTTGACTACAAAGCAGGTCTGTGCTGGAAGCAACTTCATAAAAGCATCACCTTATTCCCTGTGTGACTGAAATATCAGGGCCCAAGCATTTGCTTGCTGTACTGCTGATTTACTTACTACTCTTGAGACTTTGGTGCTGATTTAGCAGGCAGACAGCAGAGCTGACCATGACTCCTCCCTCAGTAGTTAGTACAGTTGCTCCTGTGTATCTTCAGCTATGATGACCTGCTCTCTGTACCTGTGCTTGAGCGATGTATTAAAATACAGGATGTTGCCAAAATGTCATTAAAGTGGAGTTCCCAGAAACATAACTAGCAGCTGGTGCTTTTTTGTTCCCTTGCATTGTCACTCTGGAACAAGCCTGCATACGAGATGGGCAAGGACAGGGATTGCCAGATCTGCCTGGATGCTGTTCTGCCTTGCCCTGTCTTCCCTAGTTCATCCACTGTTTGTTCTGTCACTTGATGCAAAGTGGTGGAAAAGATGTGGCTGGACAGACACGTGGCAGCTGCCTGCAGGAGGATACCCATGAAAGCTGAGATCTTAAAGCAGATCGATGAAACCACCATGTGGGTTCTTCTATTGAAAGTTAAATGCTTTTGGAAATGAATAAAGGCAAACCAATCTAAAACCACTTTCATTCCCAAGAAGCCCAAAGGGAGACTTTAGAGAGGTTCCTTTAAATGTATTGAATTCACACCTTCAGCAACTGAGATTTAATCTTCCCAGTGCTGTTTCACAGGCAGTCTCTTAAATAGATCTTTAGCCTTGTTTGGATTGTCTCCAAGGGTGGAGGTATGAATGAGTTGTAGTTCTACAAGTCACCGTGGGTTGTTACCTGAGCTGCAGCATGATGTTTGTGCCTTGAACCTTTAAACAGGACCTCAGCTGACGGTGCTGTGCCTTGCACCATACCTGTAGGAGGCTGAAACCTCACACATGGCCAGTGCTGTGACCCAGCTGGCACAGGTAACATGTTTCTGTGTCAGAGATCTAAAAGAAATCCAAATGTGTAGTGTTGGGTTTTTTTTTTGTCCTACCTGATTATATTTGTGTTCAGCTATGCTCAAATCAGCTTCATGGCATCCTTACTAAACGTTGTCCACCTTGAGACCACACAGTTATTCTGACCTTCCCCAAACTGCCACCTCTTCCCTTACACAGAGCAGAGCAGTTCTTTGCTGCTGGGTACTTACTTCTGTAGGATAACCTGTTTCAGTTCCTCGTGGTTGGGTGCTCTGCGGGGCCGTGCCAGGTCCTGGGAGGAGACAAGGTGGGAGTGTGAGCAGCACAACACATGGGGTGTACAGCTACCCCCCCTGCTAGTTTGGTGAGCCCAGCTGCTGGTGGAGCACTCCAGCCTGTGTGGACAGGGGGCACCAGCCCCACTGGGGTGCTGGCTTGGCTGTGGGCACAGCCTGTACCCAGAGAGCCAAGGGAGGGAGAGGGGTTGTTGTTCTGGGTGATCCTCCTGGCTCGCTGTGCAGAAAGTTCTTGCTTGCGGTCAAAGCTTTTTGCTGCAGGCAGCTGGGACACGTGTGTCCCTAAGCAATGCCCTGTTCCTTGGCCTGCTGCCACCCAGCTCAGAGTACAGTACCTTCACACTTGCACCTGCTGGGCCAATTTCCACCTTCTCCTCCACAATTAACTGCACTGCCTCCTCCAAGTTCCCCAAGGCCATGGCGAGTGCCTTCTCTGCCTGGCTCATGGTACAGGCCGGGAACATCTCCAGTAGCAGCTCTACCCCATCCTTCAAGTCATCACTTTCCTAGATGGAGCAGGAGACAAGAGGCAAGTTGGGGTTACAGTGAGAAGAGGGCTATTGAAGTGTGCCTTGTTGATTTTGCACTGTCAGGAAATTCAGTCTGCCCCTTGCCTCCCCAAAAGTGTGACTAAATCCCATTCCTGAAGCTACCAGGGGGTTGTATCTTTTCAAGGACAAAGCATCACTCTTCCTCAGTCTCCTCCCCCTGCATTTCAACTTTCTTTAATGTAGGGCTGCTGTGAATGGACACATCTTTGTGGCCACGCTGCATGTCTCCTTAGGAGTGAGCTTTCTGGACACTGTGGTGTGAATGCTTGAACTCAGCTCACCTTGTGAAGTTTTATGTGCTTTGATCAGAAGGAGAGGGACTGCAAAACAGTGACCTGTGGCTACATCAGAAGGAAGCACAGCAGCAGCATTCGCTAGAAGGCTGTGGACACAGCACAATTGCACTGCAGAGCAGGAAGAGATCAGTACTGGAGAAACAGCAAGCAGAGTGTGGGGGACCTGCCAGATGCTGCAATGCCTGTAGCATGGGTCATGCTGAATGGTGCTGCAGGATCAGGACCGCTGGGCCAACGACTCAGTGCTGTATAGTGTGGTAAGTGCACGGTGTAAATGTCATTGAGGGTGGGGCCAATGTCTTTGGGAGTGACATCCAGGTGTGACTGCTTCTTGAGCAGACACTGCATGACAGCTGGGGAGAGAAATGTTGGATCCAGCTCAGACTGTGCAGTGAGGAAAGGGAACAGGGTGAAGCAGCACGGAGCCTAGCTAGTGCTGCAGAGCTGTGCTCACGGTGTTGCTGTGGGATCTCTGAGGGCACTGGGACAGGCTCTCAACCATCACTCTGGCTCATCCTTTGCAGTGGCTGGAAAGGACGAGCCCGAGTGATGGCTCATACTCTTCTGTCAGCACCTAATTTTCTTCTTCCGCTTACTGACACAGTCTTGCTCAGGTCATACCATGGAGATCACAGACAGCAGGGATGCTGTGTCACAGCCTATGCTGTGGTTCCTTCCAGAACCAGAGAATGCCCTCAGGTGGTGCTGGCAGCCTAGCTCTGGGTGTCTGCCCCCAGTGCTCCTGCCCCTCTGCAGGGTGCTCATACCTGGGCACTGGCTCCATCTGTTGGAGTGCACAGCCTCTTCCCATTGCAGGCTCCAGCTCCAGGCTCCTGGCCCTTGGTCAGGTCTTCAGAAGGTGCTTCGCTCCCGCTTTCCACAGCCTTTTGGCCAGGTTTTTCTTAAAGACATAGCAATATCTCCTGAAGAACAGTCCCACTAATGCTAGAGCTCTGTTTTTCCTGTTGGCATTAGATCGCTAGTGCATCGTGTGCCAAAGCAAATCCCTTCTTAAGTTATAACACTGGGTAGGTAGCACTACCATCCTCCTGCCCTCAGCAGGGCCAGCTGCAGCTCTGTTCACACTGGCCTGCAGGAAGGCAGTGCTAGCACATGCTGGAGTGCCCAAGTGCTGCATTTCCAGGCCTTAGCAGGCATAGGCTACTTGCAAAGTCAATTCTACCTGTCAGCTTTTGGCCCTCTAGCACTTTGGCTGTGGATACTTATGGTATTTTTGTTACATTTCTAAGAATTCCCTGGTGTTTAACTTTGAATGAAGGTGTGGGTTTGATTTTAAATTTGTGAATACACTCTGGTAGTGCTCAGGCTGTATGTGAGCCAGCAGACCCTGTGGTCAGGTTACTCTGATGTATCTCTCTTTACAGGCTCTTTCTGTGTCACTGTAAGAAGAATCGTTTCACCTCTGTTCCATCCTCTCTAAAACTGGGATGGTGCTGTCCTTCCACACTGTGGCTACAACAGGATCCTCAAAGGGTAGGATGCAGGGGACCAGAGCAGAGCAGCAGATTTTGTCAAGTTCAAGAAAGCAGCAAGAAAGATAAAAGACAGGACTGTCTGTTCTACACTGTATAGCCTTTTGGCAAGACAGCAGTGATACTGCTAGATAAGAAAAACCCAGAGTGGTGTGTCCTGAAAGGTTTAATAGCCAGGCACTTCACCTGCCTGTTCTTCAGTGGGAATTTCTTTCAGGGCTGATTAATGTAACAATCCAGCTGACCTGTGAAAGATGAGGTCAGAAAAGGCCATTGGGATAGTACAGTCTTCTGCATCCTGTGTAGTGCAGGCCAGAGCATGTCACTGCTTTGCATCCAAGCCAGGGCTCATGGCTGAATGGGAAGTGAGCCCTGAGCATGCTCGAGTCTAGAAGTGATATACATGATCAGCTGGATTCTTTATTTGATGAGGCACTTGCCTTGGGCTGCCCAGTGGTAGTGCTGCTTAGGCAGATGGCTATCAGAGAGGCAGGCAGAAATCTCCACTTTCAGAAGTAGCCTACAGTACAATTTCAACAAGCAGCCCTCTGTCTCCTATTTCTTCCTTACCACTCTGGATTTGATCTTGAAAGAGGTGTTTGACAATCTGATCAAGTGTTTTTCACCCCAGTGTGTCTTGGACAGTATTCCATATGACTTCAAACCTCCCATGCGTTGACATCAAAAACCTGACTGAACATTAAAAAAAAAAACCAACCTTGTCAATCAGTTCAGGCTACTTTAGGAGATAGTAAATGGGGCAAACAAGATTGTATTTTATCCTGTGATGCTGCTCAACTCCAAGCACTAAAGCTGAAAATATGTCCAGAATATAACTTCTTGTGCTGAACCTGTCTAACTCACCTTTGTTACGAGCTTCACCAAGCCTTTCTGAGAGGGAGAACATCATTTCACAAACATCCCCACTGCAAGAGAGAGAAGCTGTATAATTAGCATGAGGAATAAAAGCAGTAGCCTGTCCTACTTGGCTACCCCTTTATATAAAGACAAGGCTTGATGGGAAGCCCAACAAAATAAACTGTTATTTCAGATAGCCAAGGGCCTACGTGCAGACTATTCAGGTAAAGACTGACTTAATCATAATGGCACAGGTGTGGTACTCCTACATCTTCAACAGGGTAAAACAAAGAATTTCTGGTCCTGAGGGGCGTGGGTGCACAGCACACACATATGAAGCAGTAACATTCACATACCTGTGGATTTCTGCAAAACCAGGGATATAGGCCTCCATCATTTCCACAAAGGTGTCCATGTCAAAAGTCTCCTCGGAGGACTCTGGTGAGCCCAGCTCTTCCAGGACACCCGTGATGTAAGAGAAGAAAACATCATCCATCCCACTAGAGACAGAGAGAACACAGGACGTGGCAGCAGGGTCAACAGGTCTATTTTTTCTCTCTCTCTCTCTCTCTCTCCAACCTCATTCTTCCAAACCTTGTGTCTTTCTAATAAGGTAGCAGAATGACCTATGGGCAGATCCCACCAGTAGAGCCAGGTAGCAAGTGGTCAGTGGTTGAGTGGGAAGCATTTACAGATAAAATACTACATGCTGTCCTACTTCCTGGGCAGCCCTGAATAGAAGTCCCTGCATGTGCCCAGGGGCTGGGCTATGCTCCCTGCAGGTGCTTCAGATGAGCTAATCCAAGTGCTCAAACCCTGACTTGAGCATATATTATATTATTATATGATATATAATTATATATATATTTTATAATAAATAAATATTCATTATATATAATCCTGAATTTTCTATGCTGACTGGTGTCTCAGGTGAGGTTGCCATATTCTGATAAAGTCCAATTCCTACAGTATGCAGTGTTCTCTACTTGCTGCTCTCCACACTTGTGCCACTGCTGCCACCAGCTCCTGTGTTCCAGCCTCAAGGTGACTCTATCTCTGCACGGAGGCAGAGTTCATAACAGGCAGAGCACTGATGTAGCATTATGCTGCTCAGAAAGCCCTTTGGGAGCACAGTGGAATGAAGGGAATCCCATATTCTAATGTGCATCACTGGACAGGAAATTAATCACCTTGCTCATCAAAGAAATGACATTGCTGGATTGTAATGCTAAATGGCAGTTGTTCAAGCATCCTGATCAAAGCCTTTGCAAATTATGTGCATCCTGGACCTGACTTAAGGAAAAGCAACACAAAGTACAGGAAAGCTACAGAGTTCAGTGTAATGTGTAGAGGGACAATTAATGCAGAGTTCCAGCTAGAACTATGATACTGGATCTTCCTCTCTCAACATACCTGAGGTCTGCTGCAGGGATGTGGGACTGGATGAAGTGTGTCAGTGTGTCTCGAATGATTCTTTCAAGCTCCATGTCTCTGTAAACCTTTTTCTCTAAAAAAGAGGAAAAAAATTGTAACTCCATGTCATTCCAAAGGCAAGAAGTGGATCAAATTATCAACAAGATGAAAGGGTAAGCATGGTAGAGGCAAGTGTGCTCTTCCCATCAAAACAATTCACAAACTCCTCCAATATGTCCTGTCATCCCTGGGTAACAGCAGGCAAAGATATCCATAAAAAGCAGCAGTATGAGGATCCATTGGAAACACCAGCCCAAAGCAGCTCAGAATCTTTTGCTTCTCCTGTTTGTGTTCATGCTGGCAGTCTGCAGCTGTACTGTACGTTTTCAATCTCCTCTTCAGGAAGCAAAGCTGGAAATGTCCTCAGATGTGTGCAGCTGCAGGGCCTCAGAGGCACCTCCTGAGGTCGAATGCTGTGCTGCCTGGTGAGGAAGCAGCAGGCAGTGGGTTTGCATGCTCACTGCAGAAAGGGGTGGACCTTCCAGAGCAGAGCATTTGCAGTGATGCTTGGAGTCTGGAAGGAGTAGGAGGAAGGGTAATGCCTCCTAAAGAACGGACAACCTAGAACATATTTTACAGGGAAATACCAAGCAGGGCACAGACAACTGGTCTGCCGGCCAAAATACCAAAGGTCTTAGGTCAGGCATGGACTGCCAGTGGAATCCTGCCCAAACAGGAGCCTGTTGTTGTGCTCAGTCAACGAGCCATTCTGCAGTCAATGCAGCTGCAACAAGGGGTGCTTGATAACCCAAAATTCAGGGACATTCTAAGAATCATAGAGCTCCTACAGAAGCCATGGCAGAAGGGAGCTGCCCACAGCCCTCCTTCAGCTATCAGTACTGTGTCTGTCCTGAATTGGGCTGAGCAAAGATGTTCCTTACTCGTTCCTTTCCCCTGGGGGTCTTTAAAACTGGTGGGTGGACAAACTCCTGGTGTAAGCACAGAATTCTTCCAAGGAAGGAAACTAGCCCTGCATATAGAGAAACTGATGTGGTCATTGGCCAGAAAGCTTCCAAAGGTCATGAGTGATACAGAAGCTCTATGAGCTTCTCATAGCTTTATGAGAATCATAGAGCTGCCTACAGCCCTCCTTCAGCTATCAGTACTGTGTCTGTCCTGAATTGGGCTGAGCAAAGATGTTCCTAACTCATTCCTTTCCCCTGGGGGTCTTTAAAACTGGTGGGTGGACAAACTCCTGGTGTAAGCACAGAATTCTTCCAAGGAAGGAAACTAGCCCTGCATATAGAGAAACTGATGTGGTCATTGGCCAGAAAGCTTCCAAAGGTCATGAGTGATCTGGAGAAGGGGGTTGAGTGCACCCTCTGTAAGTCTGCAGGCAACACCAAGTTGCAGGAACGTTCATCTGTGGGAGGTTAGGGAGGCTCTTCAGAGAGCTGCCTTCTCTTTCTGTCTTAGGCTAAAAAATTTCTTTGCCTCCTCTAATTTCGATTAGAAAATTCCTATTTCATAGCATTAGAGGAAAAAAGAGTCCAGACTTTTTCAGGTAGGAGCTCTCCACACAAACACCCAAAGTGAGCTCCTGAGCTGCTTTTATTTTTCAGCCTCACAAGGATCCTTTGCGTTTTTCTCACTTTTATGGATGTTGTGGCCTGAAAATGTGGAAGCTGGCTGTAAAAACACCCTCCCACTGCCTATTTGTTGTTTCTGTGCATTTTGTGTGTTCTCTGCTGGTGTGACAGAACCAAGTTTATCTTTGTCATCTCTGCAACATACCCAGAAAAAAAGGTGAGCTTTGTTCTATCCTCCTTGGACATCAAAAAGCCAATTATAAGATTTTGAATCTCACCATTGGCAAGGATACTGTCCTAAGCAGCACATTTTTCTCCCATTTTAAGCTGAAACTGCAAGTTCTGGCAACCACGAAGTGCCCTGAACTTGCAAGTACAAGAAAAGTAATTATCTTTTTTCCAGAAATCAAGGATGGTAAATCAACATACAGCAGTCAAAATGTTCTTACTATGCTCACTACTATCAAGAAGAATGCTTATTTCCTTCTTACTCAGTCTTCATGACACCCATGGAACTGGAAGTCTGAAACATTTTGTCCATTTCCATGGAAGAGGCTGATACTCTGGACAAGATAACTGTATAGTAACCAATAACATTTCCTGACAACCCAATTACCTGAACAACAGTGCACAGCTCACTATGTCAAAGGCACTTTTGTGAGGTCCATAAATTAGCTGCTAGTAATTTATTCTGATCAATAGAACAGGCAAAGTCACTCATCTCCTTCATCAAAAGCACTTGCAGGCAAGTGTCAGACTGAGACAAGACAAACACAGAAAAAAATAATTCAGCAACAGGAGTATCATAGCTCCAGCCAGTCACTAACTGGTCTTCAACCCATTCCCCAGTTCTGACAACCCCAAGAAACACTGCTGTGAAGCGTTTGGAAGTGTTCAGGTATTGAGAGGTTAGACCTGATGACCTTAAAAGGTCCCTTCTAACCCAAACAATTCTATGATTCTCCTGTGGAGTTACCATTCTGTATCTGAACAGAAGCTATTCTCTTGTGTCTGTGAGAGGAAAGAAGGCAGAAGGTTTTTAACCACTGGGTGCATATTCTCTTTGGCATCTCGGATAAATCTATCCACCAGCACACTTGGATTTAAAGTTTACATCCAGAGAAGGCAAGCTGCCCCCTTTAGACTGCCTTTGAAGAAATGAAAAGCCTTTAAATGACAAAACCACAGCCTTATACTGAAGGATAGAAAGCAGCTAGGTGAGCAAGTATTTCTGCAAGGGTCAGCCATCACCCTTTTTCACCTGAGGTCCCACCTCTGCTCCTGTAAAACTAGAGGCACCAGAAGAAACAAATGCACTTGCAGCTGATCATTCATTGCCATAGGGGAGAGATTTTATTCCCTGGTAAACTGTCCATACAAAACAAAACTCTGGGGGATGTGTAGTGCACAATGGTATTGGTTGAACGAGGCTTATGGAAGACAAGACCTGAAGGTCCTTTGACCCTTCAGATTTGGTGAGTATTTTCTTGAAATGGAGAGAGCTGATTAAAAACCTATGTACAAACATTTTAAAATGGATTCTTGAAGGAATAAGCTGACATTGCTGCATATTCCTCCCCAGACAGACAAGTTTAGAATTACTTAACCCAGGATGCCAGAACACCTTCTGCATTATGCCTTCAAATGCCACATATTTGTGTAGCAGCAACCTGCAATAGTTCCAGGAGAAATTTCCTAGAAGGGCTTATCCTATGGGCATAGTTTTGTGGAGGAGTGATTTATAATGCACAGAATGATCTAAAACCCAAAGGCAGGAGAAATCACTCTCCTGAGAGCTCAGTTTTACTGAAAAGGTGTTACTATCATTTTAAACTTCCAGTCATAATTGCAATGTGGATTTTAGGATCACTTCAGTAGCTGTCAGTTGATTCCAATGCATCTATGAAAGTCCTTCTGCATTTCTTGTCCTTATAATGGGAGCTCTGCTTAATGTATCACAGAGAATGTATTTTTCCAAACATATGGTCAAGAAATTATCTTCCTATTACTCTGCCCTCAGCTAAAGCCTCACAGTTTTTCACTGGCAGAACAAGAGACCTTCAACCCCTGGAAATCTCTGCCACTTAAACACTGGCATTTACTACTGAAGAGTGAGCAGTGGAGCACTGTAAGTTATGTCATTAAGACAGGCTTGGTTAGAAGTATCAGGAGTGCTTGCTTGGTCCACATAGCATCATGTGGCACACATACTTCCTCACCTCAGGCAGAGAAATGCAGTAGCAGCTCTCAAAGTGTGACAATTACTCATTTTCTGTACTAGATACTTTGGTAAGCAGCTCAGCTCAACAGAGATTTCCACCCTACCATCTCTCTTGAGAACTTAGTAAGAACTTAGTACCAACACTTTTGTATTTTCCCTTCATGTTAATGTAAAATTTGTTGTTTGGTGTGTTGTTTGTTTTTTTTTTTTGTAAAACAGCTGCAGGAATGATACTTCCCTAGAAGTACCATTATCCTTGTGGTGTCTGAAATATCTGCTTATGCTACAATCAAGAAAAGCTGTCTTCTTTTTGTACAATTCACATGAATCTGCCTTCCTTGAAAAAAACAAAGAGTGAAAATCTGAAACATTTGCATACAGCTGGATCATTTCCAAAGGCTCTTTCAACTCAAATTTCAGTAATCATTCTAAAATGGTCAATGTGATGGGATTGCAATGACTGATTGTGCCTTGGACTTTATATTAACAAGATCGACTTGAGGAGAGCAATTTAGGAAAATGTTTCTGAGCTAAGAGGAACTGCCATTTGGATGTACATCAACTTTTATGAGATCATAAATTTGCCTACCAATGACTTGAGGTTTCTGCAAGTGGAAAGAGGTGGGTGTTGTATGCCTTGGATGTTTCTCAGAACAGGTTAGAGAAAGTTTATGTAAATCTGATCTGGCTGAGAGAGAGACTAAAACACCTTGAGAAGGTTCCTTCAGCTCGTTTCAGTAATTATTCTTAAGTAACTAATGGGACAGGGATGGTTCACTGTGCTTTCTCCAAAAACCTGTTATCTCAAAGCACACAGAACATCTAGTGTGTGTGTGTACACGTGCCTGTGCTTGGGGAAGTGCAGATCCCTGAGATATAAGGAGCTCTCAGTGTAGCCTGTGACCTATGGCCTCTGAGGCCATCTCTCAAGAGCCAGATCTTCAGGACAGAGAGGGAGCTGTGGCTGTATTCCACTGAACTGCTTTACCTCCTGAAACTTTGCTGCCTTAAAAGAAAACTTCACAGGCTGAGTAACACCTTACAGACATAATTTCAAGTGCTCACATTTTTTTTTGTTTTGCTTGCTAGGAATTCCCTGAAAAGACTTACACGGTGTGGTTGCTATGGGAAAGCAGGCTGAGGTCATTGTGCACAATAACACAATTAACTCCTTACTGCTCTAACATTAAAATAAAGCTTCTGTTAATAACTTAGTCCCACTAAATTACAGTAATAGAAGATAGTAATGCCAGTGGCCAGACTCTTTCCTCCCTGCC